ATGGCTTAGTCAGAGTCATTCAACATACAGTCCTGAGCCAGAGTTTCTCACGTGGAGAACTCACGAAAGGTCAATGAGCGCGCAGTGAGCGGTCCCTGGCGGCGCAGCGCGGAGAAGCTGGCCACAGCCGCTGCAGCACGAGCTCAACGCCAGCCGGGGTGGCCACAGGGCGCGGCAGACCTCTCCTGGCCCCCCGCTGCTCCCTCAGCAGTGTTTCGGGGGACCCGCCTGTCCTGCTCCCCATTCTGCCTCTGGGGAATCCTCTCACTGCCGCTGCACCTGGTCTGTCCCCCAGTTCTGTGTGCACAAATAAGTAAATCTTCAAAAGCCAAATGTCCTTACTTTCTCTTTTCGTATTTCTCCAGAAAAAAGCTCAGCCTCGACAGTCGCGCACGTCTGCTTGGGCAGGCACCACCTCAGGGCGCGCGGGCGCGCGCGGGCGCGCGGCTGCGGCTCCGCGAGACAGGGCGGCTGCCTACGCTGCCACAGAGCAGGGGCGGCGCTTAGCCGGAGGCGAGTAGCGTCTCGTTGGTGCCCACGTGCCAGCAGAAATGGGCAAGTGCACAAGGTGAGCCTGGTGTCAGCACAGCTGCAGGCCCTGCAAGCCAGCCCCGGTCCAGCCATGGACTCGTCGCGCAGGGCTCCCCAGATTAGTCCTGAGGCCCCACGTCTGCTCTACGCGTGCTCGGCACAGTGGCTGCTTTCTACAGAGGCGCAGGGACGGGTGCAGGTGTGGGGGCGGGGGGAGGGGCAACCGTGGAGAAGACAGACCTGTGTCCGCGTCCGTGTTCCGTGTTCCCATGGGAAAGGCACCTGCGCGAGGAGGCGGGCGCGCCGCTGGCTGAGGTGAGCAGTGACTTTCCTCGGGGGAACTGTCTGTTACATTTCTCCAAATTTGGCTAAGAATGATGCGCACTGGTCTGGCTTACATGCCTTTGTGAGCACGTGTGTGAGGTTTGATGCTTTCGACTCCCAGTCATCTCTATGTAGACAGTTTTGTGGGTTTAAGAGTTCTGCTGGGTTAAGTCAACTGCTACTTCCAAACAGAAGCAGTACGGACTATAAATAACCTTCATTTTTTAAAAAGATTTATTTATTGATTTATTTATGCACACAGAACTGGGGTACAGGCCCGAGGTGCAGGGGCGGTAAGAGGACTCACCAGAGACAGAGTGGGGAGCTGAACAGGCCGACTGAGGAAGTCCACCGCTGAGGACTTTAAAAAGCGGGCGGGTCAGGAGCGGTCTGCCGGGCCCTGTGGTCACCTCCGGGGAGGGGATCGAACTCGTGCTGAAGTGGGTTTCGCTTCTCAGTGCTGCACTTTAACCTGCTGCGCTTTAACCTGCCGCGCCACCAGGGAGGGCCGTAACCCTTCCTATTTCAACTGTCCCATTCGCAGGTACTTAGGCTCTGAGAGCACTTTCTAAATTTAAGGTGTAACTTGAAATTAAGCAGTAAATATTAAAATGTTTGTTTTTTATTTATGGCAAGTAACAAAAATATTTCAATAAACACAAGATAATATTTTCTCCCCTCAAATGTGATGCCTACGCAAGTCGGGTTGATGACACAGCATGTTAACACTGCTGCTTAAATCTGTATGTTTAAACAAAGCAACCACACTTCCTGGCTTTATTCTTCTAAATCAGCATCTTAAATAGAAAGTGATTTATTTTCCTCAAGTCTCCACATTTATTCACACCCCCAGCGAGAAGCTGTTGGAGCAGCAAGAGTGACCCAGAGCTTGCAGACGCACTGTGGGGGTACTCCCCTCAGACGCCTCTGGAGTCAGCATCAACCGTGCCAGCTGTGCTTCTGGGCTCGGGGTGGTGCCACAGGGGCCCTGGGCTCCCTTTGAGGGCACAGAGTTGCCGAAGGTTCTAATTATAAAGAACCTAAGATTAAATTCTATTTCAGGGGAAACCCAAACTTGAAAACTATTCCTGGCACTAGCGGGAAAAACTGCCACTGAATCAAACCTTGGACTTTAAAAAGCAAGCAAAGCCGGAGGGCACAGGGGAGCGCCGAGGGCGCGGGAGCGGGCTGCCCGCCGCCACGTGGTGCGGAGACTGGCAGGCGCCGGGACGTGGCAGGGGCGAAGCAGGCGCCGCGCTTCCTCCAGACAGAGCATGTTCGCGCTCCCAGGGAGGACAGCCCGCCACGGAGGGCAAAGGGCCGCGTGGAGGACAGCACGCGGTCTTCCTTGCACCCCGGGGCCACGCGGGGAAGGCGGAGTCTCGTACCCGACTGGTAGGTGCGACCGCCAAGCTCCGGCCAGACTCCCCCCTGGCGGGCATCACCCACTAAAATCACACTTCGCTAGCTCTGTCGCCCCAACAAATCCGTAGGCCACACGTCACGTGGTGAGTTTGGCAGAATCTTCCGGAAAGCGGCAGGCTGTCAGAGCCTGGGCTCTCGCGGCGCTGAGGACTGGCACGGGAGCAGGTTCAGGAAGACGGCAGTTTTAGGAAGCGCCGCCCAGCAGGCAGGGGACACCCGGCCGTCTCGGCACAGAGCTCCGCTGAGCCCGAGCTGGGGCTCCCGCCACGTGCCGGTCCCCGGGAGTGGTGGCCGTGGGCTTCCCACAGCTTTCTGCTGTGAAACCAGAAGACCAGCCCTCCAAGGGGAAAGCGTTCCCGCCGCCTGCTGCCATCCAGCCCCTCACGTGCGCTGCCTAACGTCCCCCTGGGACAGCCCTCGCGGCCTCCCTACCCACGAGACAGAAGAGGACAACGGGCCTGCCACAATTCTAAGATTATCCAAGTACCACAAGTCAGGCAATGAGATGTGCAGAGCTGAAGATGTCTTAGGTTGTTGCTTTAAGCCTTGATACTGACATTGTAACATTAATTCAAGAAACCAGAAGAGAAATTTGCATCTAAAATCCGATTTCATCCTAACTGAAAACTACACCCAAAAAGTAATACTATCAAGGGGGAAGTGGGTGGCTATTAGTTTCCTAGACTTTGTAACACTTGGAATAAATAGGAAGAACGTACATTGTTTGTGTAACGAAAATGTCTGTGTGCTTAATCCTTTTAAAGGCTATTCTGTAAAACCAGAACGATGCTAAAAGAAAAATAACATTGAAAATTCTTCTACCTCCTCCTGGGCTGGGCCTCCTGGCCACACACTTGCACAACCAGGTTGTCATTCTTGGTACTTTCCTCTCGTGGCCCCCCAGCCCCCACAGTCAAGCACCAAGCCCATCTTACAACCTCAGCCCTTCAATCCCCTCCCTCTGCCGCAGGCCTCAGGGAGTAGAAGGCCCTGCCTGCGCCCCCCTGCCCACGCTCCCGCACACCCTCCGGCCTAGTGGGCAGGCGCTACAATCCAAGGCTTCGGCACCTTCAGTCACTGACTGAGAAGCAAGTGCAGGCCGCAGCCCCGACAGAAAGATGAAGAGAACCCCACTCCTGGGGTTTGGGCGAGCGGGCACCCCTTCTGCAGAGGCTGCCCGGGGACAGCGGCCCAGGCTGGCATTTTCTGGCGGGGCGCGCTTCCCTCCGTGAGTGTCTCAAGCGTGCAAGTCGGCGACTCAAGAACTAACTCTGAAGTTATGGCCTGCTGGTCAGCCCTCCCTCAAATTACCCCGGGACCCGGAAAGCTCCAACTACGCCAAAGTGGGGACTAGCACCGCCCGCTCCTGGACCACACGGCCTGTCCCGGTGGCAGTCGGCGCGGCCCTGCCAAAGCAGAGGCGACCCTACCACTCACCCACGGCCTCAGCGCTCCCTCCCCTGGCCAGCCTGGCCCTCGGGCCTCCCCCGCCCCCCCCACCTCCGGAGCATGCTGCCCCTAATGGCTACACCCACCTGGACCCCCTCCACTCCATACCCACCGCTCCCTGTCGGTGCCCCTGCCCGCCTCAGGTCTCCCCAGGAGCAGCTTCTGGGAGGCTCCTCTGCGTACCGCCCTCCGGCGCGTCTCGTGTTCCGACCACACTCGTGTTCCGGCGCTGCTGCGCCACCCTCGCGCGACTCTTGGGACCGGGGCTGTGCCACCCCGGGGGCAAATTCACCACACAAATGAAGACAGGGGTGGGCCGGGAGTGGCAGCTGGGCCGCGGGGCGGGGTAGCCACGAGCCAGGGCAACGGGAAAGCCTGCCTGAGCGCCTGGACTGCTCTCCCCACCCAAGACACCTCGATGTGTTTCCACACGTATCAGTTTCCCGATACCACAGAAAGTCAACACCAACTGGAACAATTTGGGGTGGGGGCACCGAGGATGAGGAGCGGTATACTCACCGTAGAACTATTTCCAAAAACCATCATAAAATCAAACATGTTCACAGCCCGAGGCTGACAGTGGTCCTGGGGGACTGCCACCCCCTGCCCCCGCCACAGTTCTGCTTTTACCGCCTTCAACCCCCATTCTCTCTCCCCGTATCTCAGGAGAGAGCGGCGCCTGCCGGCTGCCCGGCAGCAGAAGGCCGGTGCCGCACTAAGCGGCTCTCTAGTGAAGAGCTCTGCTTCCCGGCGCCTTTCCGGAAAGGTTAGCGGTGAGGAGGCAAGTTCTGAGGACCACAGACCCCCGCAGCTCCTACTGCAAGGGCTACAAAGCCCCCTGCAACAGAGCAGATGTGGGAAGCGCTGCTTCACTGTCTCCAGGGAGCGAGGACGGGTCACTGAGTCCGCGGTCGGTTCACACAAGCCCCAGCACACCGGTCTAAAATGCAGACTCTGGGGCCCTCCCTGGGGGCGCAGCGGGTGACAGCGCAGCACTGAGAAGCTAAAGCCACTGCAGCACAAGTACGATCCCCACCCTGGAGGTGACCACAAGGCGCGGCAGACCTCTCCTGACCCCCGCTGCTCCCCTCAGCAGTGTGCTTCGTCGATCTGCCTGTTCTGCTCCCCGCTCTGTCTCTGCGGAAGCCTCTCACCCTCTCCATCTCTGGCCTGTACCCCAGTTCTGTATGAATAAATAAATAAATCTTAAAAAAAAAATGCAGACTCTTTGCTGATCCTATTTTTGCCTGATGCCTGCTGGCCTTACTCACTGGGATGTAATAGATGCCCATCTTCGAGGTTTCGTTGGCAGTGAGAAGCATTCCTAAAAATAAACACAGTGACAAAGGTGAGTGGGGTGGGGGAGGCAAAGCATCCTCCCCCATCTGTTTATTTCTCAAACGCGGAGATGCTCAGAACAAGGCAGAGAGCCAGGAGGCGGGCGCAGCCCCTTCCCCAGACCGGACACCTCAGCGCGCAGACAGACCGCCCGTCTGCAAAGGCTCAGCCTGCACGAGCTCAGTGAGGCAAGCAAAGGGCAGCTCGCTCACCAGGGCCGAGGCCTGCACACACCTGCCACCCCCCTATCCCCCCACATGCTGACGCTCTAGACAGAGGGGCGCCGTCTCAGTGACTGTACACAGGTATTGCAAGGGGGTCACCAGGCTGGAAGCGGACAGGGAAGCAGCGGACAGCAGCTGTCATCTATGAACCTGTCACTCTTAGGTACAAAGAGAAATGTCTGTTTTGCTCTTGCTTCTTTGTCATCTTCAGAGATGCTTTGAAGCAGCTCCTCAACCCGAGGGCCTGTTCCAGAAGGATGCCCTTTAAGGAAGATGGACAGAGCAGCCTGGCAGCCCCGACAGCTCGCTGAGCACACACGTCCTACCGTGGGGGTACACGCACCAACACCCTGAAACAGGGGCCATGGTCAGTCCTGGTCTGCAGGTTAAAAAAAAAAGCTCGAAGGGCCCAAGAGGCCGTCAGGTGCTGGCCAGCTGCAGAGCTAAAATGCAAGCTCGTGCAGCAGTCTGCAATGTGGCCGACACAGCTAAGCAGCCTTCAGTACTTCGGCAGAGGGACTAAAATCACACCCATCTGAAGGACCAGCGCACAGCACAGGACTCCAGCGAGGGAAGAGGGCTGGGTCCTCAGGCCACACTATCGTTACTGCACAGGCCAGAGTAAACGGAAGCGGCCCACAGAATCACATCGCACACCTAACTCCAAAGCAGGAGCCCGTGCTGAAACACACACACACACACACGAAACGGCCCAAAAGCACACAGAGGAAGGTGAGGAAAAGCAAGCCTGTTTATCCAAACACGTATCAGGGCATTTTAGCTCCTGTATCTTCCATCTGGGCACTCGCTCTGGCCCTGGAAACAAATGCTCACGGAGGTCACAATGGGGGGAAGCCCCTCCGCGGACAGCCCCAAGTCCCACGACACGACCGCCAGTCCTCCCAAGCTTTTACCTCAGGCTAAAGCTGCCCCGGGGCCTGTCGGGGCCTATCACAGGCCCAAAGGCCTCGGTGCCGCCGGCCGGTGCAGAGGCTCCGCTCTGCACTGCGTCCAGGGACTCACCCGCCCACTCCAGCGGGCGGCTCTACTCACGCGCAAGCGGCCGGGCTGCGCCTGCAGCTGCCGTGTGGGTGGGCGGCCCCACGTGGCCACTTGCGGGTAACGGGAGACACTGACTTCTGCCAGACGAACAGGACAGAAACCTGCCACGAGCAAGAAACGCCAAGAGCCTCGCCAGCCCAAGGGGCATCAAAGGCTCAAAGAAGTAAGAAGCAGAAAAACCAAGCCAGCGGCAGGAAGAGCAGGGAGCCACGAGGCCGTGCGAGGGAAAAGCGGCCTCGGAAAGGAGGTCTCTGATGCAAGGTCGCCTCGGGGCTGCTGACCCACAGCCCACAGAACGTGGGCTCACACACCCCCTCTCGTCTTCGGCAAGAGGATAGGCTCCCGCGTTTCAGGTGACAAACCGCTGAAGTGCCAGCGTCAACACCAGCACGGCCGTGGGGGAGGCCGTGGGCCGCGCTCTGGCCGTGGGACTCGAGGGGCGGGGGCAGTCTGCAAACCTGCGCTGCGCTGCGCTGGAAAACAGACGTAGAAACCGACAGGGTCACTGAGAACCTGTCCGTGGCCTCGCCGCAGTGTGGCCAAAGGTGTGCTCCTTGCTCTGCTACTTCTCTCTGCTGTGCGCCACACGCAAGGCCCACACAAGCCCAAGCGTCTCTCACCCCTCTTCTCGCTCTCTGCCCACCCCACCTCCCCTCGCGTCGCTCTGAACCCGGCAAGTGACGCCTGTAATGGTTGCGGGTGGCTCTGACCGGCCTCTGCACCCTCTCACGCCACCTGTCCAGACAGAACAGCCCTCAGCCCTCCACCCACACCAGTGGGTGTCCGCCCGGCACCGCCTGAGCGGCTGCTGCCTCTCCTCGCCCGCCCCGAAGTGCTGCACAGATCTGCCTTGGAGGTCACATCTTGAGGTCTCCTGTGTCATTTGCTGGGAGCAGGCCAGAAGGATGTACCACGCCCGTGGGCTGGCGAGCGTGGGGTGTCGTCAGCCGCCTGAAGGCCCTCACCCCGATCGCCACACACTATTACGAATGGCGCAGAAGAGCGAAGACCCCATGCCACGGTCACGGTCTCTACTAGCCAGGCCTGCTGGGACCGTCATGCGGAGTGCCAGTTTCTCGCCCACACACCACTTCCGTGCGATATCCAGGAATTGTCGGACCACTCTACACCCTGCCTTGGGACGCAAGATGGCCCTGAAAGCCAGCAGAACTGCCCTCGGCGGCTGTCACTGAACACGCCCTGCGACAGCTACGCACCTGAGCCGGGGTAGAGGCAGATGTCGTTGAGGTCGTGCTCTGGCTCCAAGGAGGTAAATATTTTCCCCTGAAAAAGGAAGCCAAAAGGCGGGTTAAACAGCGACAGGAAACAGCTCTGGCAACGTCGCACGGAGGGCAGGCAGGGCACGAGCCGAACACACTCGGGCGGAGGAGCCGATCGCCCAGTCTCAAGCCCCGCTCGTCCTGCCAGTCTATCAAACGTCACCATTTTGGAGCGCCGGGGAGTGAGATGACTTAGCCAGGAAATAAATGCTGAGTCTTAGCAATGATTTCTAACCGTGAGAAACGCTGACATTTAAAATAAAGGCACACACCTGCCCGAAACACACCAGCTCTCACGATCTGTTAAACACGCCTCCGTTAAACCTGTCCGCAAGCAAGCCGAAGAAGGAAAGGTGTCAACACAGCAAGAGGAAAACAATTTCCGGCCAGCACGAATTCCGAGGGGACGAGACCCGGTGCACGACAGCTTGCCCCGGCCCCCCGGGCACGACACGGCGGTCAGTGCCTTGCAGGCCCCTTAGCGTGGGGGGAACGTGCTGCTTCTGAGAGCCGAGCAAAGTTAAAGGCAGAAAGGGAGCGAGACGGCGGAAACGGGGAGGCGGGAGACGCCGAGGAAAGCGAGTCGGCAAGCGCCGGCGGGGGCGCTGCGAGGGTCCCGGCCACAGCCGACGCCACGGGCCGCCGCGCCACCACCACAGCGGGGTGGTCAACGGTGCTGACACGGGGCGGGGCGGGGCGGGCACAGCCGACGCCACGGGCCGCCGCGCCACCACCACAGCGGGGTGGTCAACGGTGCTGACACGGGGCGGGGCGGGCACCACGTCACGTCGTCTGAAAAACAGCAGCCACATTCTAGTTCAAGTGAAACATGAGATTCAGATAGTTGCTGAACCGCAAATTCTCACTGGACCAGAGAGGAAGGAGGAAGAGAGGAAGTGGAAAAGGCAGTGCAACACCCAGAACAAAAAGCAGAGAGGCCAGCTCAGGGAATCATCCACGTCACAGGGAACCCTGCAGCCTGACGATCGGGGCGACGCCCTCAAACTGATGACAGGGTCACTTCGAGGGCGATACGTCATAGAAGTTCAGCCATTTTTAAAAGGAAAACACACACTGAACAGTGTGAGGGTAAATAGGCGGCACTGCCAGCAGGCGGCAGAGCCGCTCCGGGCCTGACACACCGTGACTCCTCCTCACAGTCCCCGAGCGCGCCCAATGAAAGCTGCCGGCCGGCAGCACGTCACTTCCCGGCCGGTCACCAGGTGGCTCAGCCCGGAACGGAGAAACGCGGGAAAACCCCTGCGGAAGTCCCAGGTGCTGGGGCGGCAAAGCACACCCCAAGGACCAGCTGAGTCTCCAAAGACAGATCCAGAGGAACACGAGGACCAAACCATCGGAGCCAGTGAAGTGAGAAGGTCAAAACACAGAAATGGTCACGCGCCAGGCTCTGACGCAGCACTTGGGGGGAGGGCGGCCTCTCTGCCCGAACCCCCCAGACTGTCACTGAGGCCGCTGGGCCTGACCCACCACCCTTTTGAGGCTTAAAAAAAAAAAAAAGTGACACTGTGGAGAAAAGATGTTTATAATTAAGTATAAAAAACTCTTAAAAGCAACTACTATATTGAAAGAACTTGTTCCATCTAATTGAACTAATTGTCTATTCTTTGCAAACATTTAACATCTTAAAATGAAAAGCAGAAGGCAGATTAAAACCAGCAATACAGAATTCAGCCAACCTTTTAAATGAGACTTGGAACTGAGTGGCGAGAGCATCAAAGATTCTTGACAACGCTTCTTTTAAGAAAAACACTGCCAGAAAAACTGTAAAGGTGTCACTTCTGCAACCCGACCCTGGGGGGGGAAGGGGACGGGTGCAGGATGCGGCAGTGAAACTCCAGGTAAAGGTGAGGCTCCACCAACTCATACTGGTAAACCACCGCTTACCTGCCTGACGGAACTATGAAAATGCAAGGCTAGCAAAGTCAGGAAAACCTTTTCCACAGAAAGACTCTCAGCTGCTTGCCTAGCCTGAGCGGCCAAGTTCCTACAGAGTGCCCCAGTGGGCACTTGGCATCGCCTTCCCGAGAACACACAATTCAAAAAAGGCGAGAAAGAGAAAAGGAACGTGAGGAGAACATGCAAATCAGAAAGAAATTTCAACAAAAAATACATACTGAGTTCTTATTCCACATTTTGATAATTCGAGAGTCTGCAGACAGAATCAAATCTGAAGAATCCTGGAAATGAATGGACTTAATGGGCAGCTCGTACTGGTGATCCTTGACCAGCAATGGCTTATCAGAGCGAAGGTCATACAACAAAACCTGCAAGAAAAAAACAAGTTACCTGCTTAGATGAGCTACTTTCCTTCAAAATGCAACATCTCAAACTCAGGGTGGGGGCCGCCATTTGCTTCATTACCTTTTCATGAACCCAGACTCAAGTCAGTCGGCAAAACCCCTCTAGGAAAATCCTTTCCACCCCCTGGGGCCGCGTGAACTCGTCGATCGGAGAGTGATTTCTAGGCACACTAGGTGGGAGCACTACTGAGCTACATTTAGAAAGGAGCAAAAGGAGGGCCCACAGGCACGGTCATGCACTAACGCCACACGCACGGGGTGCTGCCGCGGGCAACGCTGTGACGGAGCCTCACAAGCACGGCCCTGGCGGGTTCGTGTGGGCTGTGACGACGGGGCTCCTGCAGAAGCCAGCTGTTAGTCCCACGTGACAGACCCTCTCAAGGCCATGGAGAGTGGTGGCACATTTAATGGAAGCAAGTCTCAGATCTGTTCTGGCAGGAGAGAAGCTTACAGGCTACGGGCTCTGCCCTAAAGGTTAGGACAAAAAGGGAAAAACCTTGGCAGTGAGCCCCCACCCCAGCCCCAGTACCCCCGCCAGCCTCTGCTCGGTGTTTGCTGCTGACCCTCACTGTCGGGAGTCAGTTCATGGAGCTCAGTGAAAACACTCCTTGCAAATCAATTTTGGAAATTCTTAATGAACACGTTCTCGTCTACAGGAGCTCCGAGAGCCTTCAACACATGTCCAAATGCACGCTGTGACAAAAGTAGCCTCTGGTCCTGTCCAACGTTCTGGGCTACCAAATCTGTGGGAAATGTTCTAAACCAGTCAAGAGTGGCAGATCCCACTGTAACTGCAGCTCCAGAGTGTCCCAGGCCTGGCACTGAGCCAGACTCACTTCTGAAGGTGCTAGAAGAAAAGGCATCTGGAACACTCTCCACTCGGGCCCAAACAATGCCTCAGCTTCTGTTCCCAGGGAGAAGAGCTATATGGAGGTTGCCCACCATAGGTAGACACTTCTGAAATACTGACGTGAAGTGTGAATTCTGAGGTGACACACTCACCTGTCCCGTGGACGTTCCCACTGCCATGGTCAAGGCACCATTGAACTTCAAAGCAGAGATTGTTGGCAAACTGTTCACCCTGAAAGGCAGAATACTCATGTTCCACTTACGAAAGGGAAGAACACTCCTGTAGCAGCTCGTTATTAACCTTCAACTCCAATGAGGAAAATGTTATTTCTAGATTTTTTTAGTTTAATAGGTTAATTTTAACATTACAGAGTTTACCTTTAAAAACCTGTAGGTTATCTTCTTGAAAGGTAAGTATTTTCAAAGTAGCTGGAAACAAAATGTTCCTAAAAATCTGAATGATAATACCTTCATTTTACTTAAGTTAGGCTAAAGTTTTTACAGAAACATCCCTTCTGCTTCCAAGGAAACGATTTTACACTCAGGCGTGGGTATGCCTGCTTCTGTTTTCACAGTTAACCCTGGGGAGCCAAATTAAAAAACTAATCTATCTTGAGTGGCTATGGCCAAGAATCTGAATGTTTCTCATTCAGGTACCAGGAGTCTCACAGGCAACAACCTTAATCTCTGCGGGCAGGGCCACAGTCCTGGCCCCTCCCGGCCGCGCACCCTCGGGTCTCTGGCGCCACCTAAAGCCCCGGCCGGCAACTGCACTGGGGCTTCACCCCACACCCTCATTCACTCTGCAAAGTAAGCTCCCGCAAAGGCCTTTCTCAGTGCAGCGTGCTATTCTTCCTCATCTGTTCAAGACTCTGCGCCTCGCCATCGTTTTCCTCAAGGTACTCACCAAACTGATCACTCACTGTTTTACGTTTTCTGTGGTTAGGAGAACTGCCTTCCCTTGTACCTTGCTAAGGAACAGGATGGCAGACATCAAGACCAGTGACTTCGTAGCCAAGGTGACCCTCATCCTAGACCCTACAGCTTTCCAGCTGATCCCGCTGGCTGTCTCAGGCAGTCACTCCCTCCGCAAAGAACAGGTCTTCCCCTCCCCTGGCATTTACACATCTTTTTTTTGTTGTTGTTCTAGTCTCGCATCCAGAATCATCTCTGTGAAATTAGCAGAGGTGAGAGCTTTTACATGAAAAAATATGGCTAAGCCTAAAGAAAAACTAAGTCACCTGAAATGGAATCAGCAAGCAAAACAACACACCCAGGGCTTCCCTGTGGAGACAGGCACCCATGCCCTGTCCTGCTGGAAGACCCCACGCTGCAGGCAACGCCGTAACCTGCTGTTCCACTCGCCCGGTATCTGAACACTTTTCCCTTGAAAAGACACACCTCTGCACTAACTCTTGGGTCGGACGTGCGCCTTGGGTGGCTCCTTGCCAGTGCAATACGCACAACAGAGCCCGTGGCAAGGTGGTGAGTGCTGAGCCAACAAAGTCGAGGCCGCCGCCTGCCGGCTGGCCCACAGAAAGCACTACCCGCGGGCCCCGCTCCGGCGAGCTGTCTCCCGGCAGGACCCGCGCATTCTGCGACGGGGCGACGCGCCACCTGTGGGACAGCCACATGCCGCGACGGCGCCGCTGCCCAGAAACAGAGCGCTGGCATCGCCCCAGAGAAGCATCGCAGAGCCCTGCGTGGGGAGCGACGTGGACACGGGACCTGGGCGAGCGCAAGGCCCGCCTGTGCGCCGACGGCGTCTTTACACCAGTCTGGATACGTCTGAACCCGCTCGGTGCCTTTGCGTTCTAGGTTTAAATCAGTTGTACAGATGGTTTCGCTGCTCAGTGACTTCTATCAACAACTGGAAAATGTCCCTCTCCCGTTAATGATGTTTGAGTCAGCATTCTATTGAAAAAAGAACAGACTCGGCCCTCCCTGGTGGCGCAGCGGGTTACAGCACAGCACTGAGAAGCTGAAGCCGCTTCCGCATGAGTTCAATCCCCGCCTGCCCCAGAGGCGATCCACAGGGCGCGGCAGACCTCTCCTGACCCGCCCGCTGCCCCCTCAGCAGTGTACTTCGTCGATCTGCCTGTTCTGTTCCCCGCTCTGTCTCTGGTGAAGCCTCTCACCACCTCTGAGCCTCTGGCCTGTACCCCAGTTCTGTATGAATAAATAAATCTTAAAAAAAAAAAAAAAAGAAGAGACTAAGCACCTCTGCGCCTCCGAAGGTGCCGACGCGCCCCTTTTTAAACGCCTGCACCTTTCATCCAGTTTTGCTGTGAGCCTGCACATCACCCTGAAAAACAAAGGCTAACTAATGTGGGCTCCCCCACGTTCTTTCTTTGAATTTCCTACAACGTAGCTTCTGTGACAGCCATGGAATCTAAAGCAGAAATAGCCTCTTAAGACACTGCACGTAACCCCGCAGCCGCCCGTAAGTGCCTCTTTCACGATGAGACACCGCCACGGCGTGTGCGGGGCCGGCTGCTCTGGGACTAGCCGAAGGCGGGGCGGTGCTGCAAAATGCAGACTCTTCCTCCAAGGAGGAGGCGAGTACCTCTCGCCACCAATTTCCTACTTTAAAAAAATAAAGAGGAGTCTGATTCATGTTCTTTCTTCCCAGCACGATGAAACATTGCCATGTGCTTTGTGGTTGGTTCATTCTACCAACAGATGTGATCATCTCCCCACCCAGCAACCCGTACCAGAACATGCTTCTCCGCTTGTGTTTCTATCTCACGATAAAAATGCCTAATTCTAAAAGCAAAACTTGTATAATGAGTGAGTTTCCCCTTTAAAACTGTCAAATACAAAGCTGTTCACTGGCATGTACAGGGGAAAATTCCTAATGTCACAGTGAAAAGAATAATTAATTTAAGCTTTGTTTATCACATAAGGGCATTTATATATATTATACATATGTATAATACACATATTAGAAAGAAATGTCGTTTCAATTCAGCGATACTTACATTTTTAGCGTCAAGAATGCTTTCTTTACCGAAACCTAACCTTATAAAAGAAAAACTGAACTCTCTACCCCAAAATGACACAAAATTTCTCAGTAACTCGGAGCCCAGTGACTCTGCAGCCCCATCAGACACCTGGCCCCCCGCTTGCTATCAGCTACAGGTAAGTGTTAGATCAGCTGAAGCGAGCACCTGCTAGTGCCATCACATTACTCTGCGTACCAAGGGCGGAGAAAGGACATCCGGGCCATTCGGGCCAGCTGACCCCACACTGAAGATCTGAGCAAGAGCAGAGTGTCTGAAGCAGGCTGCCCTGAACCGGGGGTCGTGACCACTCTGGGGAGTGGGGAGGGCGGGGCCTGTGCCTCTCGCTTAACTCAGCCGTTCGAGGCTTCCATCTCCCAGCATGTGCTATTTTTCTAATTGTTTTCCACGTGGGAAATGGCAAATAAGCACAAGAAAATATCAAAACACTCATCTTCCTCTCCCTCTCCCTTCTCCCTCCCCCTTGAATGGCTACAGCACCGCTTTCTGCTCACTGACCTCACTGACCGGAGCGTGGCGCCTCCGCCCAGCACCAGATCCCACAGGCTGAAATAACTGTATTTGTTGGAACAAAGTCAGGGCAAATGCACAAACAAGGCATTCTATGCAGTCCTCTAGACAGCCATCCGGCCTGGCCATTTATGTGAGCTTTCAGAGGAAAGGACTCAGATGTGAAGTCACCACAAAGCACAACCTCAGGGCCTCCCTGGTGGCGCAGGGGTTAAGTCTCCGCGCTATCAAGCTATCGGCAGCCGCTGCAGCCCGAGTCCATCCCCGGCCAGAGAGTGACCTGCAGGGCGCAGCAGACCTCTCCTGTCTCCCCGCTGCTCCCCTCAGCAGTGCGCTTCAGCCCACCTGTTCTTCTCCGCGCTCCATCTCTGGGGAACCCTCCCACCCCTGCACCTCTGGTCTAACCCTATTGCATAAACAAATAAAAATAAATCCTAAAGAAAAAAACAAACCACCACCTCAGACAGCTCAGTCTCCAGGACATCACCCTCCATCCATTTCCTTTAAATTAGTACTAACAGAGCACACAGAATTTGATGACCCTAGCAGTAGCGCCCACTTACTCGGAGTCCGCCGTGACGCTACTCAGCGCGCAGTCCAGCAGGCCCACCCGGCCTCGAGTCCGCGGGTCCCAGCACTCCACTCGGCCCTAAGCAAACATGGACAGTCATTTTAGTTTTGACTTTTTTTAAAGATTTATTTATGCTCACAGAACAGGCAGATGGACGAAGTACCCTGCTGAGGGGGCAGCGGGGAGACAGGAGAGGTCTACCGCGCCCTGGGGGTCCCTCCCTGGCTGAGGCGGATGTGACCGGCTTCCAGTGCTGCGCTTTAACCCGTTGCACCACCAGGGAGGGCGCTGGGCGGTCATTTTAAATAACGGCAGCTACTGGAAAGACCATAGAGAAATACAAAAAAATTGTCTTACTAACACTGCTTGTTTGAGGGAAATAGGTTGTTTAAACTTTCAACCTTATACCCTCATTGTGGTACTGTTGAATGTTTCATCAAGATCTGAATTTCTTTTGTAATTAGAAGACGGGGGAAGGCTGGGTAAGAAAGAAGCCCAGAGGCGAGGCCCTTGGGGGTCCGGAGCCAGGAGCGTTTTAATATTCAAGGGTTATTGCATCAATATTAAATTTCTTAGGGACAAAATGGTATTATAATTTTTATAGGCAAAAGTCTTTGACTGTTTGAAATATTCTGGGCTAAAGTGCCTTACTGTCTGCAACTTAATTTCAAACAGCTTGCAAACACCTCCCTCGCTCTCTCTTAGAAAAAGAAATGCCACCGTGCGGCACTGAGGAAGGTGTGAATTCTCTAAAGCAAAAAAAAAAAAAAAAAAAACTGACCTGCACCCGGGGGCGCGAGTCACAGGGCGCCCACCTACCTACCTCAGCACCGTGGAGAAGATGGAGGCTGCATGCGTGAGACGGTGCCCAGCCCGTTACATCAATTTATTAAAAAGATAGGATCCAAAAAAAAAAAAGGATAGGATCTGTGGCCTTCAGGAAAATAAATTTTGTGCACAGAGGACCAACAAATTACTACCAGTGTTCACCAAGGAAGCAGGTTCGAACAGGACAGAGGAGCCACGCCACTCACTCTCTACTCACTGACTTTGTAATGAGTAAAAATGCAGATTTGCAAAAGTTGTTTAAAACCTGAAGTACCTCGGAAGCAAGGCCTTCAAGAGACTAAGAAAGCCTAACCTCGCTGTCTAGTCTTAACTAAAACACCTGCCACAACGGATCAAGGACGAGCCGTCTTCTAGGCTCAAAGCGGGCAAATGCCGACGGTCCACATCCCGCTGCCCAAAGCAGGCCCGCGGGCAGAGAAAAGGAGACCACGTCTGAAAGCAAAAAGTGGGCATGCAAGCAAATCCCCAAAAAACTTGTTTTTTGGAACCAGACTGGTTTTCCATGTCCTAGTTTGGCACTTCTCTGCCACAGCAGGCACTCACGCACCTCAGACGGCGTGACGTGCAGGCGCGGCCGATGCTGCCCGATGTGACAGTGACTCACGCAGAGGCCGAAATTCAATACGCTGTCAGAACAATGCAGAAGTGACTTCCAGCGTTCAGCCTGACTTGACACGTCCGACTCCCTGCCCCCGATCATCACCTGGTCTCAGGAGGCCAGCTCGAGGCGCCCGTAGGCCCAGGACTGCTGAGGGCCAGCCTGCGCCCCCCATGAGGGCGCTACTTGGGAACTTCCCTGCGACCTCAATACCAAGAGAACACTTGTATGGCCTATTTGGGCATGACAGCATTGTAAAAAAGCTGGCAGTTTTATATATTTCCACTGAAGTGACCTCCAGCTCCGTATTTCAAACCCTACTCTCACGAAACTAAGGAGTGAAGATACCTAAGTGTGCCTGGCGGGCTTGTTTAAGTGCGCTGCTGTACACCAGGGCGCTGAAGCCGGCCCTGATGGGGTGGGGAAGGCGCAGCGCTGTGAAGCTCCGCGGCCGCTGCAGCATGAGTCCGACCCCCGGCCAGGGAGGGGCCCCGAGGCCAGCAGGCGCCGCCTGTCTCCCCGCCGCTCCCCTCAGCAGTGGGTTTCAGTCAGTCTGCCAGTTCTACTCCCCACTAGGTCTCTGTGAGTCCTCTCGCCCTCACACCTCCAGCCTGCACCCCAGTTCTTGTGTGCACAAATAAACTTTAAAAAAAATAAAAAGAACACTGAAATCCTACTCGTCAGTTTTGAAAACTTAGCTCTGCATCACAAACAGGCGCACATGAAGGCCCACCTCTGTGCTGCCGCACTCTTCAAAAGCCAGTGGGGCCCAAGGCACAGACGCGCTCACCGCGCACCAAGCAGCGCGGCAGACGGCGGCGCGGGGCTCCTGGGCCTCGGCGTTGGGACTGCGGCCCAGAGGCACCTTCCAGCACCACCTTCCTCCCAGTGTGCAGCTACCGTGCTGCAGCGGTGAGTTGCACACCTAGGAAGCTCCTGACGAGTATGCAGAACACCGGCTCCCGGGTAACGCGCTCCAGAGCAACACGCCTTTACCGTGCTGCCGCCGGGCCAGGCTCGGTCTTCAGAGGCTGCCCCTGTGGCCTTCACCGACACCCCTGGCGTCTCCCTGTCACCGAGGACTCGAACCCTAGGGCAGCGACGCCACGCGAGGGAGGCGCTGCGCAGCAGCCCGGGGGGCGCCGTGAAGGACAGCGGGCGAGCCGGTGGTGCGGTGGCCGCAGCGGCCGGCGCCTCTGGCATCCCGCAACACTCCAAGTCCGAGGCGACGGCCCAGGGTCTCCTCGTGCAGAAGCGCCTCGGGCCAGCACCCCACGGGCAGGGACCCCAGGCTCTCGCAGTAGAACTCTACTCATCATCAAATGACAAAAATGCCTGAGCAAGGAAGGCCAGAGCACCTACCTCGACCGTCCCTGTGGCGAACAAGCCGTGCACGGCGTTCACGTCGCAGACGTTATTCTCCCTAAAACGGAGGCGACAAGAGCGCATCAGCGCCACTTTGTGGGAGCAGGACAGTCGCTGACCTCTGCGCAGACAGCTGGCCCAACCTGGAGACAGGCAGGTTCTCACGCAGCTGCTCGGAGAGGCAGCGGCCAGGGCAGGACTAGGAGCCGACACGCGGCCACCAACTCCTGCTCCCGGGGGACGCTTGGGGAGCACCAGTCCGCCCCCATGGAAATCAAAGCCCGCCCCCCTCCTCCCTGCACGTCCCTCCAAGGCAGACAAGGGCAGGAGCCACCAGGGCCCTCCAAGGCCTGACCGGGGGGTGCCGGAGACTGACCCGAGCCTCGTGTTCAGGCGCGTGGGGATTAACTGAAACAACCAGATACTTTCAGCAGAGTTCAGGGTTACGAGACACCCCAAACCAACGGTTGCTGTTATAAACAGGAAATCATGCCGCTAAAGCCAGGTCACTTCTTGTGATTCAAGTATTCATCACGGTGTCACTATATTTAAACAGAAGCATTCCAAGCCAGTACTGAAAAAAATACGAGGGCCCCTGGCGGCGCGATGGGCTGAAGCGCGGCACTGCGCAGCTGTCCAGCCCCGCAGCACGACTCACCCCCGCGAACCTCTGGCCTGAACCCCAGTTCTTGTAGCATAAATAAATAAATCTTTAAAAAAAAAAACCTGAGAGATTTTCACTACATGTTCTTTTGACCTTTAAAAGACCTTATCAGAGCAGTAAGAAAAATGCAGCCAGTTCTTTACACACAAACAAGCTTTCACCCAACCAGCTGCCTGACCCTGGACAAGGGACTGGCCCTCCCGAAGTGAGCCACCCTCGGCTGCCCCATCTGTAAAATGGAGATCCCAGTTCCTCACATAAAAACGTGCTCCCGGGTGGCTTGACATACACCAACACAGTACAGCCTGGCAGGTAGGAAGGACTAGTCATTACTACTCAGAATTGCTGGGACAGACTCAAGCCTCAAGGACTTCGGAAAAAACAAAAGCATATTCAAAATATTTTTCTGAAATGCTAAAAAAAATTGTGTAAACTACAATGTATGACCTAAGAAGCTGAGCAAACCTTAGACGTCTACTCACAAAAACACATAATGAAAACTCTGTAAAATGGTACTCCAAGTGAATTCAAAACTTCTTCACGAGAGAGCATATCACAAAGTAAAATCATGAAAGTCTAAACAACACTGCAAAAATTTATTTTTACTATTTTTAAGCTTAGTGTATTAGAAAATATATTTTCAAAAGCCACCAGGCCTCTGTGAATTTTCGGTTCAGGCAAAGAGCTGAGGGAACCCTAAGCTTCCCAGGGCTCTGCTTAAGCAACACCCTCAGCCCCGTGGTGAGTGAGCATGCGGCGCCATCTCCCGGCCACGAGAAGCAAAGCAGTACTCACGCGGCGTCAGTCTGGAGTGGATTCAGGTACCGTCCTTGCTCTAGATTTAACCTATAGACCTCAGAGCTGCAAAGCAAAGAATAAAGTTAAAAATCTAGAAAACTACAACAGACATTTTTCAAGTAAGTAGACTTTACCTGTGTACATGTATCATCCCCTCTGTAACACTGACGCAAAGGTGACTCTAACCCTGAAACCATCGTCTCATGTGTGAGTCTGCGCAGACCGGGACCAAGTCACATGCAGTGCGGTCCCCGCCACAAGCAAAAGGGGTGAGACTCCTAAGAGACTTGACTTCGCCCAGGAAGCAAGAAAAGGCGGACGTGTCTAAGGCATCTTTAAATCTCTCTCCTCAACTTCAAGAACAGATACCGTCTGGCAGGTAGAAAGGAGAAAAGCGGGTGAAGAGGCCCGTTACCTTGCACCCACAAAGTACAAGTCGCAGGATGGATAATGGTAAGAGAAATCTCTCCCGAACTTGGGTATTCTGGTCTTATAATAGAAGCCCGACTGTGAGTGAAACTCAATGTATCTGTCATTGTGTAAGAAGACAATCTGGAAAGCAAAAGAGAAAATTGGTTTGCTTGGCTTCATAAAGTGTGTCATCATCGTCACTCCACTGGCGAAGCATGGAAAACCCTGGCCTCTCCGCACCACCCTCTTTCTCTCTGGGAACACACAGGCGCACACAGCGCCTGCCACTGTGGCAAGAAGTGACTCTTGGCATCGGCTTGCCATCGCGTTCTCGCACCCAGCCTGCCTTCCGCAGACCCCGGCCACGTGAGGGTGCACACAGCGTACTCCGGCCCCAGCACACTCGGGCACAGCCTCGCAGTGACCCCACAGGAAGGGTCTCGTTGTACTTAAGGACACATTCTAAAAGTCTCGCAATTGCACAGGGTTTGTCAAACTTAAGCATTTAATTTGAATTAAAAGGTATGATAAAAATCTGCAGGTGGTATTTACAGCACATCTAGAGAAAATACACTATAAAACTAGTTGTCCCAAAATACATGGTAAACGGCAAAAAGTTTCTGCAGTTTCTAGAACTGAAGATGATACATAATGCTATATCAGCTCAGAAAATCCAATTTTCCTTCAAGATGACATCTGCCATCATCAGTTTTTATCTGAAGCCGAGCGAGGCACATCACAATGGCCTTTCCGCTGTCCCGAGGGACGGGCCCTGACGGACGGACTCATGAGCAGCGAGAAGGAAGAAAAGGCACCCGCACACCTCGCTGTGCCGCGCAGCTCACAATGTGGGTTAGAGGACGCGGCGTCAAACGCCGCTGCTTCACTTCTCATGCCTGAACGAGATGCAAGCGCCCTGGCAAGTTACACTGTACGAATGCAAGGGCCACAATCACAAGTGCAGACGTAAGTTGGTCGAAGAAAGATGGCTGCTTCCAAGTCTTTAAAACGTGCACAAGACGTCCTGTGATTTAAAACTCCATTTTGCCACCACAGACTGGGTAAGGCCCTCTCTGTCACTGTCATTTTTAAAAGACACCAGGCGTCATCCCTGTGACAAGTTAAACGGATTAACTGAAAACGATGCCTTAGTCTACCGCACAGCGATCTTGGACTTATGACTGGGGTCGTGGAAATAAAGCCCACCCTCAGTGCGGCCGCGCTGGGCCGGGCGGCGGGGAGCTCACCTTCGAGTAGTCGTCGGACAAAGTGTCAAAGGTGACCACTGGAAAACAAGAAACGGGGGAAGTATAATTATCAATCCACACTTCTAATAAAAATACGATCTCACAGAGGCTCTAATTCAGCACAAAATGTATGCAGAAAGCTGCTTTTATTCCTTTTGTCCTTGTTTAGAAAACAATAAAGCTGCCACACTATACTGCCCCCGAACAGCAGATGGGAAATCGAAAGCTTTATAATTTCTCCATACGACCGATTAAATTTTCTGCAGAACTACAGCAAATTTAGAAAGGTCAATTCACAGAACAGAACGACTCCCAGACCTTTCCATGGCTTTTCTGAGATGTTCAATATAAAATAAGATTAAGAAACACTCAAATAGTGCTGCTTTACCGTCATTGACAGTACACCTGCCAGACCAAAAGAAAGAAAGTCATCAGCACCCGGGGTGTCCACCGTTCTTAAAAAGGGAGAAACATGCTAGATACGCAGCACATTCAATTCTTTCCCCTCAATGTCAAACACGAGGGCGTTGGTGGGTGCCCACAGGAGCCTGCACCCCCCACGGGAGCCTGCCCCTGGGCCAGGCAGTGCTGAGCGCGCCCCGTTACAGCCGCCCCCTACGGAGCATGTGGGAGGACCCTAAGATGGTGGTGAGACCACGTCACCCCTGCTACAAGGCGGAGATTTGGAGGCGCGCGAGCTTTCTGTGGCTGGTGGCCCCAGCTGATGGGCTGTGGGAAACAGGGGCCCGGCCCTAGAATCTGCACAGATGGAGCCGGAGTTGTGCCCAGAGGCGGCGGGTGGGAGCCCCTGGCTGCACAGACCGGAGCCGGGACAGACGCCCTCGCAGAGCTGTGGGCCGCGGCGTGCGCGCTGACGCTGCCTTGCTGCACAGCAGTGCGCACCGAGGCACAAAAAAGAGACAAGCAGCCAGTTACAAGGAGCTATTTTCAAGAATTCAAATTTAAGCTTTTACTCACCTTCTGAATCTAAACACCTTTCAAACTTCAAGGATAACTGATAGGTGTCGTAACATCGAACCCGAGGTTTGTAGGTTCCTGTAAAAAAGGCCACATAAAGCTAGCGGACATACTTCCCACTGTCAACATGCTCAAACAGGCTGAACATATTTTTTGTCCAGAGGCAGGAAGGAGTAGCTGTGACCACAGTCAAGAACTTAAAAGTCGCCCCCCAATATCCCATGGGGAAAATGAGCAAAGAATTTAGCAAGTCACAGAAAATGAAACACAGATGACACTTAAACTTTACAAATAATTAACGAAATATATTAAGATAAAAAACCGGGATGGCAAAGTCGAGGGCCTCCCTGGTGGCCTAGGGGTGAAGTCTCTGTGCTGTCGCTGCTATGCCGGGTTGCTTCCGGCCAGGGAGCTGCTCCCCTCAGCAGTGCACTTCAGCAGGTCGCCTGCTCTGCTCCCCTCCCCTCTCTGTCTCTGGGGCGTCCTCTCAACACCGCCCCCACCCTCCCCTGGCCACCGCACCTCTGGGCTACACGCAGTTCTTCTACACACACCAAGAAGGAAAAAGAAGGTGATTTGTGTCTGCAGTGGTGAGGGTGTTTAACTAATTTCTCACAGTTAGTAAGTAACATAAATTGTGACAAATACTTCAGAGGATAATCTAGCAATGTCGGTTAAAAAGTGTTTACACGCCTTGAACCTCTATGTGACTTTACCCACTTCACCGACAGACACCCCAGAGGGCGCCGAAGACAGGAGGAATGTTCTCGGCAACGCTCTTTACAAGATAGCCCTCGGTGGATGCAAATGAAATGTCCATCGATAAGGAAACGGTGAAGGAAGCAGTGACCGGTCACCACACAGCCCGGAGGGAGGACGGCGCGGAGGTGGCAAGTCACGGGGCAGCCAGGACCCATGAGAGCGTGAGGAAGCGCCGGGCAAGGGGCTGGCAGAGGACGGCAGCGCCACCCGCCCTGTGAACCCCACAACAGTGACTTGGACTTGACGAGAGCGCTGGAGGGAGGAGCAGGGACTGTCTACCTCTGTCGGTGACCTGGGGCCTCTGGCACCACGGGTGTTTCCAGGGTGTCTGTGTTCAATCTAAGTATATCGCGTTGGCATAAGAAAAAGGAAGAGGTTGGCTTTTAGAGCCACTCAAGGTATTTTCAAAAGAATGAGGCAGCCCATGTCTGTAGCCTGGATCAAAACCTAAGATCGGATTCATAAATAGAATTCTAAAAAGTCACCTGCCCGCCAACGTCTATGCCGCAGGGGTGAAGCAGGCTGCGAATGCAGCTCGCCAGAAAGGCCTCCAGACACAGCGGGCTAATGCCGGCCAGAGGGCGACAGACACGCCACAGCACACCCGCACGCTGCCCTGCAGAGCCCGGTGCTGTAAGCAGGGTCACCGCCTTTGTCACTATTCCGGCGAACTCCGAAACTGCCTATGATGACACATCAGCGGAACACAGAGCAGGCCTGCCCTCCTGCTGCGCAGCCAGAGCCAAGCAAGCTTACCCGTGGCTAAAATGAACTGTCCATCCTTTGACACCTTGATCGTAGTGCAAACAGTCGGCATCTCAAAGTCCTGGATGAGTTCGATTCTCCTCCGGACATCTACAAAGAGAAAACAAGCATCCGGGTGGTGGCGCGGGCAGACAGCGGCGGGGGGCGGCAGGTGGGCGCCGTACCCCGCGCCGGCCCTCAGGACTTGCCAGGGCTTTTCACAGCTCAGGCGTTTTTCCCTAAGTAACTCATTTCCACTCTTCAAAAAGAAAAACGCTTCATCAGTAACTTTTAAATAGCCACGACAATGCCTCACCGGGCTCAGATCTGGCCACAGGGGACAGAGATCAAACGGGAAGCCGTGGCCGCTCAAAAAGCCCTTGTGCTGTCAGGGTTTAGACGGTCACTTCTTGGCACCACCGACCGGCCGCGGGGCAGGCTCACACACCGCGGGCACGCACACACGCTCCTCCCTGCGAGCGCCAGGCCTCTGGAGGGCGGTGGTCCGGCGCCGCACCATGGCGAGGCCGCTCCGAAGCAGGACGGGACACCGCTGCCCGCAGGAGGGGCGACGCCGGAGACGCGGGGCGTGAGCAGCGCTTCTTCTGAGCTGGGTCTGCTCCCCACGACCAGACGTGGGGGCGGCGTGAGACTCGGATGAAGTGGGAGCAACAAGCATGGTCTCGGCAACCGTCTGGCTTCCCTTTAAGGTCTGGTTCTCGTTCTATTTAAACGCTCTAGTTGTGGTATGAGTCCCCTCACCGGGACCTGCACCACCACCACAGACCGCCACTCCTGCTCCCCGCCCGCCCACGCGGCCTCCGCCTGCATCCCGCCGCCGAGTTCCCCTCCCATCCCTTGAGGCCGTGTCTTCTCGCTCAGGCCGTGCCTGGCCAAATCTTGGTCCGCTCTTTCGTTCCGTGGCTCTGCAATCGGAGGCCACGCCCGAGCGCCTGTCCTCCCACTGCCAAGGTGGGTCTGAATCCAGCACAAAGATGGCACCGGCGGTCTTGCGCATTTTGGCCAGCTTTCCCCGGGCCTGTCTCAGATGCTGCCGTCTCCCCGGGTGAAGGGCTGCTCACAGGTTTCCGATGGCAAAGCCAGAGGGCCATGAACTTCCTGCCTTGGACAGTTTCTACTGTTGACGCTGGCTGTGGATCCTCAGGTAGCCAGCGAGGGGAAGGGCTCGGTTTGCTCCCGACCCTACACTACAGGAAGATGACTCTCCCAAGGTGTCTGCTTGGGACATTTATCTCATCTCCCACAGCCCCTTCAATACCTTAGGTACTTCACATGTGCGAGACAATTACCTCATCAATACGTGACAAGTTATACTGGAGAAACTTTGTCTTAACGGCTGTGAGTGTAAAATCAGCCACATGTAACGTAAAAGAACCAGCATCTTCTGCAGTGGTTTTTATTGTTCATTTTCATGTCCTGTGCATGGAATACGTAGTTCAGAATAAAAAATGTCCACTGTCTCCAAATCTCAAGAGCCAACAACTGAGTCTGCCCAATGCAAAGGGGCTGGCAGACAAAGATGCTCCGGAGGCGCTCGGGCACCCCCCCCGCTCGCGGGGGAAGCCCGGCCTGCAGAGGCCAAGAGGACCCAGGAGTCCCGTGACTTCCGCTGGCTTGGAGCGTGCGCGTGGGCAGAATCACAGCCCACACCCACCAGGAACCTATCAACCACAGCAAACGTTTCTTACGAGAGGGCGAAGGGCAAAAACTGTATTTTGTGCTGCCTTCTGTAAGCCTGTGGCAACAGCAAATGAACGAAGCATCACAACGCGGACCGTGAAGTGGCTGACGAGGAAAGCAGTAACACTCACCGACATCTTTCTTCTGTAGGGCTCTCTTCTTCCGGTCAGAAAGCCACTTAAAGAAAATAAAGAGGCTCTATTTTAAAACTTTTATTTTCATCTTTTTCTGCTTGCAAACATAATATATCCTTATATGAAAAACTGAAACCTTATAGGAACATTAAAAAGTGAAAATAATCTGTAATCATAACTCTACTACTATCATATTTTGGTTTTTTTTTTCTTGATTATGCTTAAACATAGTAGACAATGAAGTTTTATAACTTTTAAGAGTAAACAATGTCATCGAACCACTGATAAGCAAGTTTCAAATGTTAGGTGTTATAGCTGATGCATGGAACAACTTCATCTATTTAGGAAAATTTTGATCACCCTAACGCTGTGGCTTTGCTCCCAAAGTGTATTTGGCAAGTGCTAGAGACACATTGGGTTGGCACAACTGGAGAGTATGCCCTCAGCTTCTGTATGTTCCCCTACACAAGGTACTGTCAACCCAAAAGTCAAAAATGCCCACAGAGACGAAGCCAAGGAACCCTGCCCTGGGGAAGCGCAAGAAAGCAAGAGGGGCCTGCAGACGTCCCTCCGAGCGCTCACCCCAAGCACAGCCTGCGCCAGACACCTGGCACTGTCCGCCCGAACTCTGGGGGGACAGCGACTCGACACCGCAACCCCAAGGCAGAGCCTACTTTGAAGAGCTGACGGGCAAGAGTCTGAAGGCGCTTTCTCCTGCCCTCACGTCTAGGGCACTGCCGCAGAGGGCCACGCTAGTCCCTCTGACTATCCTGCTCTGATTTTATCTGGCAGTAATGTTTCCATTCAAGGTGATGTCCAGCTGGATTTGCAGGCAGTGAACGCACCCTTCTCCATCAACTGAATAGGAGCAGAATAAAGGAATGTTACCAAGGCTTCTCTAATAGGGGATTCAGTTTCCTCTTCTCGGCTATGCTCATGGGGGCAGTTCCAGCATGAACTGGTCTTACATCCTGGGCAAACCAACTTGGTGCAGAGGGGTGGAAAGAGATTTCCTTCCAAGTGGGACCTGGGATCACTAAAAGGACAGAAATTCTTGAGCAGTGAGGATGGGAAAGGAGGCAAGTTCATTCATGAGCTTCAATCCAAACTGCCAGCGCCCAGGAGAGCACCCAACACATGGAGCAGCCACTGATGTTGAAAAAAAGACCCCGCTACACCGTAGCTGAAGTAGGCGATGCTTGGGGAGTCAGGACCACTTTACAGACGATCGAGGCTCACGCTACTAGGAAGCACACCCCACATTTGCCGAACACTTCCACCTCAATGCCGATGAGGCTCCAAACCTGAGCCGTGGAAATGAAACTCCTTTTTGCTCACCACATTCCCCTCCTCACCCGAGGGGCTCAATTCGCCATCCCGGTTATCAGCAACACCATGTCCCTGTCCGCTTCTGAGAACTCCTTCCTTCCTTCACCCGGGCCCCCACGCTACCCCATGCAGTCCATCAGCAGGCCCCATCAGCCCACCTCCAGATACCTCCTGAGTCCCCCGTGCCTGGGCATCTCTTCTGCTACACCCTGGCCCGGGCCAGCAGAGTGTCTCAGATGGACCACGGAATTCATCCCCCATGTCCTCTCCTTAACAGGTGGCCACACAGTGGCCGCACAGCGACCCAGTTTAAAAGCCACGATGGCTTCCGACAACAGTAAAAATAAAGCCCTTACTTTAGCACCTGGGCCTATGACACCCAGGCTTCCAGCCTCACCCGCTCCCACTCAGCAGGGCACAGCCTCACCCCCCTTGCAGGTGCCGTCCCGTGGTGGGATGACCACGGCCCTTCTCTCAGTGCCCGAACTCTTCCCGCAAACCTTCCAAACGCTCCTTTACACCACCCATTCCGCTCCAATGGCACCTCTTCCAGAGAGGACTTCCCAAAGCTTTTGTCTAATATACACCGCCAGGCACGCCACTCAAACAGCTCTCTTCCAGTCTCCGACCCTGTCCTGTTGGCTAATTTCTGATCTTCTCCCCCAACACGGAACCTCATCTGACACACGTGGGCCACCTGCACAGCCCCTTCTCAACAGTGCACGGAATGCACAAAACGAGCAAGGTCGTGGCAGGCGAAAATGCTGGTGGGGATGGAATTACTTAGTATGAATGATGAGATAAAAGGGAGAATCTTGTGTTAGCTCTCAATCTTTAGCCCCGTATATGTTGTCTCCAGGAGCAGAACTCAAACCAGGGCAGCATTCTGCAACGTGGGGGTTTAAAACCACTGTCTAAGGAGTAGTCTCCCGAGGGAAAGCGCGTCCTCCGGTTTTCTTGTCACTGACATGATCTGGACAGAGGTCTGGCCATCATCTAAAGATAAACCCACGTGTCAGAGCCTAGGCTGCGCCTATGGCTAAGTCTCCCCTCCCTGTCAGCCACAACACTGTCAACAGAGAGGACTAAAAGCGAACTTCTGACTTTCAAGTCCCTTCCCCGCGACATCCTAAACATCAAGCTTGGCTGGGCGAGGCCCCCCGCCCCACGCACCAGGCACCGCTTCTGCACTCCGCTCACTGCCAGTCCGAGACCTTGGCTACGGCAGGAGCTCAGCCCGCTAACCACCGCCCATTAACGCAGGAGCGACAGGGCCAGCGACGTGCCCGCGCCGCGAGGGCGCCACAGCGGCTGTGGACAGGCTGAGCTGCCAGCGGGGCGCATCCCCCGCTCCGAGGCACTTTCCCGACGTCCAGGGTCACTGGACAGTCTCACCAGCGGAGCTCACCACTGATCGCCGCGTGGCCGGGCGGGGCGGTGGCCGCGGCGCCCTCGTCTACCAGAACGACCAGGTCCGCCGCGAGGCCTCCCGGGGGGCGGCCGGTCCGGGCCCGCCCGGCAGCGGCGGCGGCGGGGGCAGACCCCGCGCGGAGGGGCCTCAGCCGTGGCTCACCTCAGGAAGGGACTTGCCGCAGCTGAGACTGTAAATCTTCACCTCGTTGAGGCTGGACACCTGCATGGCGGCAGGGAAGCGGCCACCCCCGCTCCGGTCCAAGCCCCCGATCGGCTCCCGCGGGCTCTGGGCGCGCCGCACAGGAGCATCCGGAGTCCCGGTCTCGCGGCGCGTGTCTGCCGCGTGCGGCGCGGCGCTGGGTGATGACGCGCTTCCGGTCGCCGGAGCGCGCGTTCCCGGAAGCGGGAAGCGGCGGCGGCTGGGCGGCCCTGGCTGGGGCGACCCCGGCTGCGGACCGGCTGGGAGCCGTTGTCCCTCCTCGCGGCGTGCCCGGTGGCCCCGCCGCCCCGAAGACGCTGTGCGGGAGGACGGGCTGACCTCCCGGCCCGGCCGACGGAGCCCAGCGAGCGCCTTTTCCCTCGCCCCGCGCTTCCCCAACACCACGTTCGAAATAAGCGCCTTCAAGTTGGCCTCCTAAAGATCGGGGGCTGGGGCCCGGCCTTGACAGCTTCCACTGCGGAGGGAGGGAAAAGCGAACGGCGGGGAAAGGAGCGAAGGCCAGCGAAGAGGGGCGTGGGGGCCCGAGGACTCGGGGCCGGTGTGCGACCCGTGGCAGGCGCAGCCCTCGTGCTCGCGTCGGGACGGCCGCGCTGGCGTCCGCCTGCCCAGAGGATGCCTTTTCCGTGCCTGGGCCCGGGGACGGGCTTTTGCCCTTTCGGTAGAATAAAGCCTCAGCGGAAGGCGGGTTAAGTGCAGTCAGGCGGGTCCCCCGGGAAAGGGAACGTCGCAGCCTCTTCCCGCACGCGTCGCCGCTGGGTCACTGCGAGCACCGGGCTGCGTCGTGGCGGGGGCGGGACCTCTGGCTTAGGGATGTTACTTCTGCCGCAGCCCTTAAAGCTCCCGTGCAAGCTGTTCCCTTCCTTCTGCGCGAGGCTTTCTTTCAGGAAGCTAGCAGGACCGCCGTCCTCCGTGGGCGCAGCGTGCCACGGAAAGATCTTGGGCTGCATAGCGCCCATGAGTCTGTAAGCAAGTGATACAAATTTGTAGAATGATTTCCAAGAAATCCTGAATGGTTAAACACGCGGCGCAAGCGCAAGTGCACACACATGCACACAAAATAGTACTTTGATTATAAATTTCTAGAATTTATTGTAGACACATTGACTGCAAAAGCAGTAGTATCTTGCATTTTAACAAGTACTGTGTAAGTGGTAGATGTAAGATCGGTCTGTCCTATTACTGACTTTGATGATTAGGGACCCTAGAGTGTTTCACTTCGTTCAGTCTCACTTTTCACTGACCCCAAGCCTTCTTTCTGCCTGGGCATGGTTGCATTATTCGGACTTTGAATGCCTGCATATGCTAATGTAGACTCTGGGCTGCCCTCCTTTCTACTTGTATCCAGACCCTTCCAGCTTCTCACAGTTCACCTTTTGAATATTTTGCTCATTCTTGTAACTTGTAACTGCCCTGTATAGATAATACCTTTTTGGCAGTTATATTTTTAGCATATTTTTAAAAAATTTTCCTGTGCTTTCACTGTATTTAAAAAGAAATAAGTCCTCACTGGCGGCCCAACGGATTAAGATGCAGCACCATGAAGCTCTCTGCAGCCACTTCAGTGTGACTTCCATCTCCATCCAGGGAGTGACCCACGTGGCACAGCAGACCCCTCCCGTCTCCCGGCTGCCCCCCTCAGCAGTGTATCTCAGTATACTGATTCACCTGTTCTGCTCCCCACTCTGGTGAACGCTGTCATCCCTCTCCCTCACCCCACCTCTGGCCTACACTGTAGCTCATGAATGCATAAATAAATAAATCTTTAAAAAAAATACCTTTGTGGCAATTCTCTCTCTTTGTGGTATATTTTTATTTTCCAAAGTCACAGTAACTGCACACATTGCACAAGGACAATACTAATGAACTTGAAAGTAATGCAATGCAATGGGCTGTTTCCTTCAAGCATTACCTTAATTCACCACAACACCTCAAGGCTAATTAAAATGTCATTTTTAAGAGCCCATAAATCATCTTCCTTTGTTAAACTTGGGATCAACGCCTTTTGAACCTGTTCTTCACTCTGTTATTTGCTTAACTCCTCATTTTTATTACTCTAGGAAATGTTTAACATTTTTAAAAGTCAAATAGTGTGTTGGACTCCTGCGTGTCTCACTCAGCTTCGGCAGCTCGCATGCATCCTGGCCTGGTGTGGTGGTGTGCTCCCCACTGCCTCACCCTGCCGTTACTTTTGAAAGATTTGAAGCAACTCTAGGACAATGATCTGTGGGCTGTAATAAGCACGTCCGGCCACCTCCTCCATCTGGACTTGATGGCCTTCGGTAGCTCTGCGCCTCCCTGGCCTGCCCCGCTGTCTGGTAGACCGCTTACTCTCAGTAACGGTTTCTCAGTGAGAATCAGTGAACTGAGCCCTCCTCGTCCTGACCTGCCGGCCTCATGTTTTGTTCCATGACTGTGCCAGAAGCGACTGTTTTAAATCCGTCCATGAGACAGCTTGTCTCTCCAACACGAAGGTCACAGCTTCCAGTCAGGAACCACACGCAAGGGAACACAGTGTTTCCTGCAAGACAAAACGAGGTGCTCTTTGTCCTTAGTGCCAGGACAGCAACCTCTGCAGAGCCACTCACCTGAGGCTTGGCGCTCCTGCACCCTTGGGTGGCTTTCCCCTGATGGTAGACTGCTCGC